AATATCTTGAAAGGTAATGTCTAGGTTATTTTTTTTAATTGCGGCTTTCAGGTATTCCAATAATTCTTAAATTATCTCTCCTGGATCTATTTTCCAGGTCACTTATTTTTCCAATGAGATATTTCACATTTTCTTCTATGTTTTTTTCTTGCTTTTGATTTTGTTTCTTGATATCTCACGAAGTCATTAGCTTCTACTTACCCAATTCTAATTTTTAAGGAATTGTTTTCTTCAGTGAGCTTTTATATCTCCTTTTCTATTTGACCATTTCTGCGCTTTAAGGAGTTCTTTTCTTTAGTAGATGTTTTGTATATCTTTTTTCATTTGACCAATTCTGCTTTTCAAGGCATTCTTCTCTTCGTTGGATTTTTCTGCCTCTTTTACCATTTGGCCTATTCTATTTTTTAAGGTGTTGTTTTCTTCAGTATTTTTTGTGCCTCCTTTACCAAGTCGTTAGTTCTTTTTTCTTTTTTTTCTTATGTCACTCTCATTTCTCCTCCCAATTTTTCCTCTGCCTCTCTTGATTTTTAAAATCCTTTTTGAGCTCTCTCATGGGCCTGGGACCAGTTCATTTATTTTTTTAAGTGTTTGGATGGAGGAGTTTTGACTTTGTTGTCTTCTTCTGAGTTTGTGTTTTGATCTTCCCCATTACCATAGTAACTTTCTGTAGTCAGGATCTTTTCCTGCTGTTTGTTCATTTTCCAGCCTATTTCTTGACTTGTAACTATGTTAAAATGGGTCTCTGCTTCCGGGGTGGAGGGGACAACTGTCCCAACCTTCAGGTTTTTTGTGCAGCTTTTTTCGGAAGTAATTCTGCGAACCTGTAAGTTTTTGGTTCTTTCAAAGTGGTATGAGCTAGGGAGAGGTGTGTTTACTACTCTTCTGTACTGTGCTCTGGTCTGTGAGTGACCATAAGCACTCTTTTCCACTCTAGAACTGTGACCAGGGTCCCAGCTCCCCTACAGCCACCAGCTCTGGGGTGCTGGTGCTTTTCCTTGCCCTAAGACTGAGAACCAGGACTGTGACCCAGATCCAAGTATGGGTAATGTAACAGAGTTCTTTCCCTGGTGCCAGCAAAGAGACCCCTATAATCTCCTTTTGACCAGTTGTCTGACCCCTTTACCATCTGAGGTCTGAGAGGTCTGGAAACCACCACTGCTGCCACTGATTCAGTCACCACCAAGACCTCCTTCTGTTTTTCTTGGGCCCCATCTGCCCTGGCACAGCCTGCACTGGACTGTGCTCCACTCTTACCCCAGAGCGACAAGTGTTTTCCTGCTGACTTTCTGAGTTGTCTTGGGCTGGTAAATTGTTTTACCCCTTCCTTTTGTGGGTTCTGCTGCTCCAGAATTTATTCTGAGACATTATTTAAAGGTGTTTGAAGGGTTGAGGGGGGAGCTCAGGTGAGTCCCTGCCTTTCTCCACCATTTTGGCTCCCGGGAAGGAATTTTTTTAAAAGAAATTTGTGGAAGGGTACAGAGGTAAGGTGTGGAAAAGCACACAGAAGCATAATCTTCTGTATTTGCTAACATTTTTTTTCTTAAAAATAGTAATTTACCATTAACCTCCTTAGAAAAGCTTCCTAATACACAAAATAACCTTAACCTTTAAGAACTCAGTTTTCAGCACTTACTACCCACCATCATGCTTGATACCTATATTTAGTTATAAGCTTATTTTGGTATTATTTCAATGTGACCTTGAATGAGTTGCTTCTTTCTGGGCCTCGGTTTCTTCTGTTAAATACCGAGGGAGGCTAGACTAGATGTTTTCTTAAGTTACTTTAAATTCGAATCTTCTTCAATTCTATGTGTTATCCCAGCTCATGCTTATAAAATATTACTTCTGGCCATTGCAGTTTGATTTCCTAAATAATACCACAGTCATAGAATTTATTATTAATTTATAATTTGACATTTTATTAGTTGACAACAATTACAGTAATCATATTTCTTATGATTACCTGGAAGGGGAGATCTACATAGTGAATCTTGAAGTAAAAAAAAAAAAGTTTGCAAATCCAGTATAGGTGAGAGGGCAGGGTAATATAGTACAAGTATTTCTTGTTAGCATCTGGATTTTTCCTTTTTTTTGGGGGGGCGGTCAGCTGAATTTTATTTCAGTATTTGGGATCTTTGAAGGGAATTGAAGGGTAATAACAATTGATACCAAGACTAAAGACTTGTAAATAGCTTATCTGCAACTTGCATCATCTTCTCTTCTTGCTTCCAATTCATATAACACTAGATCAAAGTCTCTTAGTATAGACAGTAACTTTTGCTTAGATGAGGGAGACAAAAACATGTTCAGGACGCAGAGAAAATTCACCAAAACTGGGTGAATGAAATGCTGCTTGGTGGGACATTTGGATATAACTTTGTTTTCCTGAATCCTTCTTTCTAAAACCGTTTGTTATAAGGTGGATTTTTCCCACTACTCTATCTTCTGCCCACTGTTTCACTCACATGAAATATCTTGGAGATACACCTAATGGGAAGGATTTTATTAGTGGAAGAGACGTGACGATCCCCAAATTGATTGTAATAGTTGAAAATCGGCCGTAATTTATAAATTCCTCTTTTAGTGACTCTGTGCTCAGAGGAGTTCCTGAATGTGTCAAGAATGAAGCCCTGCCCCCCAGCTGACATAATTTATTGTTTGCATCCCAAATTAGACTCCCTGTGTGTCCTTGGGAGTCAAGACAGGTGCCAGTAGTTCTGAGCTAGACTGAGAAACTGCTTGTGCAACTGGGACCCTTGTAGATAAGTTGACCATCCTAGCTTCATAGTCCAGCATTTCCCAAGGGAAATGTCAAGGAAATGGCTTTTCCCATTGCCTTGCTCCTCCCCTTTGGGAGGGTTTTTTTCCTTTACCCACCTTTACTTCAGTTTTTCCCCTCTTATACCATGCCCCATTAGGTGGAGATTTGTGTTTTCTCCTCCTTCCTTTGTCCCACTGGTATAAATATGCAAACTTCCATATGGGTTGTGAACTCTTTGGGTTCCACATGCATGTTCATTTCTCTTGTAATAAACCTAGTTTTCACATAAGTTTTGTGAAGTTGTGATTGCTTATTGACAACCTTAGGCAACTCATTTAACTTCTTGGCATCTTTGTGTTCTCCTTTGTCAAATGAGGAAGTTGCCCTAGATGGCCTCTAAGTTCCCTTGTAGTCTGACTCTAGTAGAGCTAATTCTTAATTATTTACAGGTGATTCTCCACCCTGACCCCCCCCCCCCCCTTCATTTGTTGATTATGCAGCGCCTTTTAAAAATCTCTTCTTAGGCTTCTTTGACTTTGACATTGCTCATTAGTGTCTCCTCCATCAGATGGGTTGGGCAAGTTAGAAGCAATTGAATTGAAGTCAGTAAATTGTTACTTGCTAGGAACTGTGGTAAGCACAGTATTACTTTGCATTTGTGTATTGTAGATGACTTAGATGGAATATGGAGCATGCACATGGACCTAACTGACACTGTGATATTGTTGAGGTCAGATTTGGAAGAGCCATGCAAGTGTAAAAGAATTCACTTAGTTGTTTTTGGTAGCCAGTGGGAGCTGTAGTACATGAAAGCACACAGGCCTTGTTAGCAAGAAGCTAATTGGAGCACAGATATTTGGGAAACCAGGCTTATATAGAGGTTTCAGAATGATAATGTAGTTTTAGAGTTTTTTATGAGGGTTAAAGATTAAGGATAGGACTAGAAAGGATTTTATGACATAGGATGAGGGAGACAAAAGGAATTCTTTATGGTCCAGAATAAGGTTTTTAGGGTTTTATGGTGGGTTAAGATTTAAAGACAGGGCAGAGGGACACAGGTTAAAGATTAGGGACAGGGAGAACACAGGATAAGGGAGACAAAAGCAATTTTTTTTGGTACAGGTTAAGGAGAGGAGAGAGGTGCATTTTGTCATTTTTTCTAGGGCCAAGATTTGACCTTTTTCTTTTATCCCATAAAATTTTTCAGCACTATGTATGGCAGAGTGTTCACTTCAACATTTCACATCTGTAATGGGATTTCTAAAATATAAGCATAGCATTATGTTTTCTTAACTACTATCTCATTTCCTTTTAAACCTATATAAAAACAGAAAATATTTCGAAAATACTGATATTTAGCAGCTAATTCTAGAGTAAGTAAGAGTAATTCTTATTTTATTACTTCATAATATGAAGCTTAAAGCTTGATCTATCTAACTTACCTACTTGCTTAGGCAAATATTCTTCTCTCATTCCAGGGGAAGAGGTTTTTTTTTGTTTTTTGTTTTTTTTAAATATGACTGGAAACCTTCACTTAGCTACCATTAAAGACTTTTGGAGAGGTTCAGAACAGAAAGAAACGGAGGGAAATTACAAAATTAAAAGTTCTGTAGAATCAGGAAATGCAAACAATGAGATGTGGAAAGTGAGACCAGTTTTATTTCTCTTCTGTGACTCTGAGCAACACTGAATTAAAAAGTTTTTCCTTTTAGTTCCGGAATTTAAAATTCAGTCTGATATTATAATGCAGATTAAAGTGCTTGCTCTAGGTTGAACTGAATTGCATTATACCTGGTATAAAAAGGGCTCATTAAGATATGACCAGTCTCACTGAATTCTTCCTGGGTAGGGAAGATAATTTAAAGTCCCCATTTGTCTTTTTTCTTTCACAAAAAAATGGGAGAAAATAAGAGTAATCCTATATGTTAACATGCCTGTAGTTTGTATGCATAGGAGACTTGTGACTATATACAATAACATTTTATAACTAGGTAAATTTCTCTTTGTATAAAGGCCATGTATATATAAAACATGCTTTTGTAGGTAGACTGGTTCCCTTCCATTAACATACATAAATATCACAGGATGTTGTTCCCAAACAATCCAGTGAATTCCAGGTGTTCTATTGCTTGGTATTATAGAAGCTTCTTTCGTAATTTCTGCTCTGCTTATAGTAATGCATGTTTACATTATTCTAATGTGGCTTTGCTAAGGTGGATGTTTTGTTTTGTTCTGGCAGCATTTTTTGCCCCCAGGAGAATACTGAGGAAGCCCTATTGTTGTTGCTGATCAGTGAATCGATGGTAAGTGCAATACAGACATTTTTTTTTTCTTCTTCACTGGGATTTCCCTTGGGCCAGGGTACTGGTCCTTTTGTCAGACGACTCAGGACGGGTGTGATTGCTTCATGTTATTATCTCTGGGAAGGTGTACTCATTAGTGCTGAGGGACCAGTACAATCTGTTTTTTTTTTTTCCACTGTGTTTCCCTTATTGTTCAGACTTATTGTCTTTGTCCTGGTCAGACTCTGTGTTGACTTGAGATTCAGAGTTTCTTCTTAAATCCTGACATCAGCATAGTATAAATAAACTGTACTAGACCCATGACAAAATTACATTGTGTGTCCATTCAGTCAACATAACACGTACCCCATTTTTACACAATTGTAATCAGATGACTGTATCAAGAATCACCTTGAATAAGAAGTCGCAAAAAGGTGGTTGTGAGGGAAGAGGGTAATGTGGAAATAGGGAGGGGGCACTCTTACCCATTTTGTCCTAATAATCTAGCAGTTTTGGGGTCAGTTCTGTGTTTATGAACCTTATGTTATTTGAGCACTGGCTGGCTGAAGTCCCTCTTCCAGCCTGCTGCTTCCCTAGTTAAGCTACCTATCACAGTAACAGGCCAGACTTCCTCAAAGGTTGTGGCTTGTGAGGAAGGCCCTGATATGTTAGAGCTTAAGGATAACCATGAGGTTGTGAATGTAATCATTATCAGACTGTTGAGAGGGTGCAGTGGATAGAGAGTTGGGTCTGGAGTCGAGAAGATTTGAGTTCAAACCCAGCCTCAGACACTTACTAGTTGTGTGATCCTGGGCAAGTCACTTACTGTCTGTTTGCCTCAGTTTCCTCATATGTAAAATGGGGATAATAATAGTACCTACGTCTCAGAGTTGTTGTCAGGATCAAATAAGATAATATTTGTAAAGTACTTAGCACGTTGCCTGGAAAAGTGTAAGTACTTTATAAATGTTAGCCATCATCATCATCTTGGAAATCTTTCTTGGTGTTGACAAGTATATAAAATTTTAAAAGTTTTTTTTTTTCTCAGCATATTCTGCTTCCCACTGTGTAATGTTGTATGCAATATAAAACTCTTGTTGCTGTTCAGGCGTTTAAGTCATGTCTGACTCTTTGTGACCCCATTTAGGGTTTTCTGGGTAAAGACACTTGGAGTGGTTTGCCATTTCCCTCTAGCTCATTTTACAAATGAGGAAACTGAGGCAAACAGGATTAAGTGACTTGCCCAGGGTCATACAGCTAGTAAGTATCTGAGGCTAGATTTGAACTTGGGCAGATGAGACTTCCTAATTTCAGGCCTGGTACTCTATCCACTGTGCTACTGAGCTGCTCCTAATATGGAACTAGTTTGCTCTTATAGTTAAAAGTGATGTGAGTTTTCAGTTTTGAACATTTGTGGTATAGTAGAAGTAATACTGGACTGTGATCTGGGATGGTTGGTATCCATAATATGTAGAAGAAGGAGAGTTGGTTTTGGGATTAGGTCTTTGTGTGCATACTGACTTTGCCACTTAAAAGCTGAATGACCTTGGTTAGGTTGCTTCATACCCCTGGGCTCCAGTTATCACTGATAAAATAAGAGGCTTCTATTAGGTGAGCCTCTAGGATCTCTTCTAATCTGAACATTCTGTTTATTCTATTTTATAAATGATATCATTTGTGTGATTAACTAGTTGATCAACTATTATTTATTAAGTACCTATTACATCAGTCAATTAGTCAGTCATTTAACGTTTATTAAGTGCCTGTTAGGTGCCACGTACTGTTCTAAGTGCTAGAAATACAAAGAAAGATCAAAGTCAGCTCCTGCTCTGAAAGAGTGTAGAGTCTAATGAGGGAGACAACAGGTAAGCAACTATGTATAAACAAGAGATGGCCGGGGTACCTTGGAGATAATCCAGAGGGAAGGCACTAATACTAAGGGGGACTGAGAGAGGCTTCTTGCAGAAGGTGGGACTCTAGCTGGTATTTGAAGGGAGCCAGGGAAGCCTGGAGGTGGGGATGAGGAGGGAGAGTGCTCCAGTCTCTTTGTTAAATGCACATTGGATGCTAAGGCATTGTACTATGTGTTCCAAGTATAGTGAGAGACATTTAAAAACATGGGAGCACTATCCCTCTTCCCCCCTCTTTTTTCCAGTCTGGTTGGTAATACAGTCATAGAAGGTCAGAGTTGGAAAGGACCTCAGAGATCCTCTAGCCCAGGAGGTTCTTCACTTGGGTAGGTTTCAAGGTCCATGAACTTGGATGGAGGAAAAAATATTTATTTCAGTATAATTGGTTTCCATGGTAATCCTACATACTTTATTTTATGAGTTTAAAAACATTCAGAGAAGGGATTCATAGGCTTAACTAAACTGCTGAAACCCATCAGTGAGTTGGGGGTGTCTTCCCCAACTGTGTGAAGACTTCTCCTGGTGGAATGGGTGGATGAGAACGATTTGTTCCAACGGCCACGAAGGCGGCTGAAGCAGGCGCTGTGGAGTGCTTAGAGCTTGGACAGGCATTGAAGACTCCAAGGTCATCCACTGCATCCTAAGCCATGCACAGTCATCCTGACTTTTGTCCTGCCACTGGACTTTGATGTCTGTGGAAGAGAGAGCAAGACTGATGACTTGGCACAACTCTGCCTCACTTGAATCCAATTCATGTGCAAGTCAGAGCATCGCTCCATGATGTCATCGGTCCTCTTCAAAAATGAAAGCTGAACACCAAAGAGGTCCATGATGCAAAATAGGTTCAGCCTAGTTTGCCTCAATCCAACCTTGTACCTGGCCAAGAACAATTCTGTAACACTGCTGACAAGTGATTATCTGCTCTCCCTTTGGAAATCTTGCAGCAAGGGGAAACTCATTCACTTTAGAGACTGTCCATTAAACTTTGGGACAACTCTAATTGTTAGGAAGATTTTTCTCTACGTCTAGCTTCAGTCCATAATCTTTTTGCAACTTCTGCCCAGTCCTCTTAATTTCACTCTCTGAGACTAAATAAAGAAGGCTTAATTCCTCTTCTATGTGAAAACCCATCAAATACTTGAAGGTTGCTATCATGTAAAGTGCATTTGTCAGCTCCTTCATTCTGTACAGTATACCTCTCAATTAATGATTTGTTAGTTATTTTGATGTCATTGTCTCCTGGTTGATTCATATCTAGCTTTCAGTTTACCCAGGTGCTTTGCCCTCTCTCCTCCTACCCCCTTTCCCCTATCTTTTTCATAGGAATGCTTATCTAGGTATATCTTATCTATTCTGAACTTTTGAAGTTTTGGGCACCACATCTTAGTAATTACATTCGTAAGAGGCCTAGAAGAGTGAAAGATGTTAGCCTGGGGATATCTAGCCATGGAAAGAAGACTTTGGGAAGAAAGTATTTGAAGTACTGTCATATGGAGTTGATTTGGACTTGTTCTTCTTGGCCCCAGAAGACAGAACTAGAGAAACAGATTTAGGATTGACATTAGGAAAAGCTTCCAACCAAAAAACTATAGAATTGGCTGCCATGATAGGTAGTGGGCTCCTTCATCTTTTAAGTCTTCAGGAAAAAGCTGGATCACTACTTGCTGGAGATGTAGAAGGGATTCTCAGTTGTAGATGAGTTTGATTAGGATGGCCTTTGAGGTTCTTTGTATCTCAGATTTTAGAATTCTGGTTTCTTTTAAAATATATATTCCTTTTAAATGTCATAGTATTTGATTAGGCCCATTATTCTATCCTGTTGATATCTTCTTTGGATCCTGTCTCTGTTATCGGTCATATAAGCTGTCTTTTTCAGCTTCATATCACCTATACATTTGACAGGTACACTTTTCAAAATTTCATTCAAACATTGATAAAAGTATTAACCATCACAGAGTTAAGGACAGATCTTTGAATACTCTACCATTACTGATTATTCTTTGAGTCCAGTTATCCAACTAATTATGAACCCACTTGTAATCTAGGTCTCATTTCTTCATGTTGTCCACAAGCATAGGATAAGAGATTTTGTCAAATGATTTGCCAAAATTTTGATACACTGTTCTATAGAACATTTCCTTGGCCATCTCCTGACCTAGATATTGTATCAAAATAAAAAAAAAATGGAGTTAGACTGATGTGACCTGTTTTTGATGAAGCCACAATGCTTTGAGTGATTAATCACTGCTTTTCACTTTAATGATCGGTTGAAGGATTTTACCAAGAGTAGAAATCAAGCTGTTTGTAGCCTCTTCTCTTTTAAATAATTGGGATCACATTTGCCCTTCTCCACAGTTTTTTAGAAATAATTGAAAGTGGCTCAGGAATTCTCAGAGAATTTTCTGAGGAATACAAACAGAATACAGAAGAACAGGTTAAATGGAGAATAAAGTAGTGAATGGCATTAATCAGGGAAATTATTTTTGTCTTTATTAAAAACTGGAAAATGGTCATGTTAGTAGGGTCAAGATGCCTTCATCAATTCTTTTGTTTTTCTTTGGCTTGTCTTTTCTGTCATTGAACTTAGTCACCCTAGAAAGTAACAGGCTGTAATCCTTGCCCACCTGTGCTTATCACTTTTCAACCAGCTGGCACCTCAGGAATCATTTGTGTTTCGTGCTTTCCCCAGACTCTTCTTGGTCTAATAACCTCCTTGCATTTTATAACCTACTCTTTGATTAAGGCTATTTCATATTAGACTTTTAGGCAACAGTACCCTCATACTAAGTTTTCAGCCTTTGCTTGGTCATACTTAATATATCTGGCCCCAAAGGCAGTATGTCAGTTGGGGGGGGATGCATTTCATTTATCCCTCTTTGTCTTTAATTGAATAAATATTAACTGGTAGCCTTTAAAGTTGGAGGCACTTTGCATTAGTAAGCTTAGAATCCGTCAAAAAAAGATTTTTGGTTTTCGTAAACTCACTACTGTGTAGTAAGGTCCAATGACGCTATTTGACAATGATGCCAAATTTTCGTTAGAAATCAGAGCAACAGGTTCCTGATCAAGATAGTTATGTGCAAACTGTAATCATTCCATAGTTAGAAATTATGTAGAAATTAGTAAAAGTTGCAATTTTACCATCAAGAAAACTTGTTTCCTTCTCTATAATTTTTTTTATTTTTACAGTTTGTAGACAGGAAATAAATATGTTCAACTTCAGAGTCAAAATGAACATTACTCTGCTTTTTAGTGGTTGAGAAAATGGTTTATTTTTATGGCTGTATTAGCTATAAAGCAGAAACATAAATTTACCTGTTAGACCCTCTACCCACAAGAAGTAAGTTCAGGATTGAGTTGCTGTATATCATCATATCACATTATTTTTTGACTCTGATTAATTTTTCCATAAAATAAAGGGGATTATCAAACCTGCAGCTATATAATGGTAACAAAAACAACCACCTTAATTGTTGAAAAGCTAGTAGTGCTCACAATGATGTTTGAAAATATGCATCATATATTTGTAAACACAAGATTTCTGAACACTTTTCTTTTGAAATGAAAAATTTGATACAGCTTGATAGTTGATAAGGCCTCCAATTTTGATCTCTTACAAATATCAGAATTACTACAATTTTTTTCTCTTCAGAGTAATGGTTTTAGGACAGATAACATCAAGTAAAAAAAAATAGGATAAAGTTGTTTCTAGCAAGTCTTACTTAGTTAATCCATCATTTCTTTCCTTGGCTTAGAATTGACACCTGGATCAGGAAAACTTATGATGAAAATTTCGAGATAAGGCCTGCTCTAACAAGAAGTGATTCACTCAATGAGAAGTGCCCTGATTATCTTTTATTCTAACTTTTATGTTTCAGAGGAGGGAGTTTTGAAGCCAAATCCATACTGATCTATGGTGCTAACAGTAAATGCCAAGGAGTTGGTGCTGAAAAGAAAGGCAGTTCCTTCTTAGTGGGAGGCAGAGTTGGTAAGCAGGCTTTCAGAATGGCGTGAAGGAAGGAGAACATCAAAATGGCCATCTGTATGACCCCAGTGCTTACTTCATGTGCCACTTTGAGAACATAGCCCTGGGGGCCTTCTTTCTATCCTTACTGATCCAGAGTTATGAGAGACTGAGAGACCAGGCCTGTCAAATTAAGGCGGAGAGTACCAAATTTGAATCATTTTGGTCCCTGTAATAAGGAAAGGGGAAAATGAGCTGCTTTATCTATAATACAGTGTCTCTCTGGGAATCTGTAGAAAAATTAAATTTGAATGTTAATGAAAACAAGTTGTTTGTGAAGAGCATTTGATTTCTAGATAGAAGAGAATATTAAGCTTGAATGTCTACGATATATTTCTGTGCTAAGCTATAGAGGCATTAAATTAGAAAGGTGTTCTCTGTGGTATTATTTAAATAAAAAATCTGCTCGCCTCTTTCTATTCTGTCTGTTTTGTAACCTATATTCAATTATGTTTTGACTTGTGGTCCATTATGGTGAAGAGCATAGAAGCATAGGACCATAGATTTAGAGCTGCAATAGACTTCAGAGCCCATCTAGTCCAATCTCCATGTTTTACTGATGAGGAACTTGGATCTGATGAGGTTAAGAGACTTGCTCAAGGTCACACAGGTATCAGGGATGTGAGTGAGTATTGGACAGCTATACAGATTTTGTCACAGAGAAGAAAGGAAAACAAATCTCTGTAGGACCTGTTGATTTGAAAGCACCATTTCATGATGAAAGTTGTGGGAGTCAGGAATTCTCCTTCCCTCCCTCCTTCTCTTCCTTCCTTTCTTACCTCCCCTCTCTCCCTCCCTCAGAGGAATAGTGCCAAGTATCGGTTATCTGCCTACTGGATATATAGTTCTGCTCTCCTAAAGCAACACTATGTGTGCAAGGATTCCATAGGTGCATATGTGCATCTGGGGAGATAATTTTGCTTTGTGTTAGCTTTTAAATAGCTTCCTGCAGATGTTTGATTTAGGTACGAGCAGCCTTTTGAATCAGCCCCATTGTTCAAATATGAGAAATCCTGGTGCAGAACAGTGTACTTTTGTACTATAATGGCCAGCTTTTAATTGCCAAGGGTCAATTTGTTCCTCCTGTTCCTAATTTGCTCCAAGACCTGATCTGTACATTGTTGGCTCTGGGAGCATTTATGTGAAGAGTTTTTTAATAAATAGCAAGTAGATATTTAATCTATGTGCTGACCTTTCTCAAAGCCCTCTTTCTTTTTGATGTTCTCAGGCAAACCGAGATGCTGTATTGAGCAGGATACCAGAACACAAAAGTGACCGCATCATCAGCTTACAAAGTGCATCCGTAGTCTATGATCTATTAACTATTGCTTTGGGAAGAAGAGGCCAATATGAAATGCTGTCAGAGGTATGGCTTGTAAGTCACTGCGGTCAACTTAGTGGATGCAGCCTTGAAAACTATGAGATATGTTTATGTATGATGAAACTGATGTTTTCTTGAAAATAGATATGATGGTCAGCAGACCCACCTGTCTGTGTGGTTTCTACTGGAGAGGTTACCATTTCCAAAACACATGCATCTTCCAGAGTGATTTCTGTCATAATCAAAGGACTTTCTGGATTGTGTGTTACAGATTTTCATGTGAGATGGAATTAAAAAAAAAACCCAACACATTATTACATAGCTTCTGATAAGATTGGCACTTAAAAGCATAGTGTTTTTAGATTAGATTCTGTAAGGTACAGTTGAGCAGGATCCTAGAGCACAAAAGTGACCACATCATCAGCTTATAGTGTCTTACGGTCTTTTCATTTGTCAGGAAGTTATGTAGTCACTTAGCTTTTCTTAAACACTTCTGCGTAGAATTTTGAGTTTTCAAACTTCAGAAGAAGATGATTAATCTAAGTTTGCTGCTGTCTCAGTACAGTTTGCATGCTGAGCAAAGCATCAAATTACCATTGTGGCTAGATATGAGCTAGATACATTCTCAGGTAATTTTCTCCTTGGGACTTAAAAAAAAATCTGTATTTTGAAAATAATTAGTTTTCTGTGTTTGTTTTTCCCTTTTAAATTTTCCATCCATTGCCATAGCCTTAATGCAGGAAGATAAAAACAAAATATCAGAGTGAATTAAATAAAATTTTCTCCCCTATTGCAGCCTTGAGATCCCTCCAGTGTATTTACACATTAAACAGAGGCTGAGGGAGAACAGATGAGTGTTGCATAGCTTAAGTCTTTTTTATATATATTTTTTGACTATATAAAATCATGGTTAGCTATTCTTTGGGGGAAAAAAGTCACATTTGTAACCGTGTAAAGCAGTAGTCAGATGCCCCTGCATAGTCATGAGTCATTGTCCCTGGGCTTAAGCCATCCTTGGAAATATGCTGTGTTTTATCTGGGGAGCTATTCAGCATTATAGAGAATCCCTTATAATCCACCATCAGGAACATTTTACAACGGGTAATTTCTACAAGGTGATTTCAGTAGACCCACGTGCTGTTTCTGATGAAGGCAGTTCTCTGTAACATCAAGGAAAGTTGTACTTATCTGTGGAAAGTCATCTGGTGGAGATGGCTAGCTACGTAATATGCCCTTATTAGTTGATTTGCTTCATAGTTAGGTTCTTTTAAGATGACTTCTAACATCTTTTGAGATTCCTCTAACTTAAACATTGAAAATTTTCCCGATCTCTTAGTTTCAAACTAATGTTGAGTATAGTTGTAACATGGTAGTTAACATAGTGCAATCAATTCACTTTATGGTTTTAGTTATAAAAACTTTGTAAAGCTTTAATTTTTTTCTGCATCGGAATTCAGTCTGAGGTGCCCATCTTGCTTTTTGCAGGCTTAATGCTTTCCTGCGTATTGACTTCTCTTCATTTCCCAAATGATTCGAGGGAGACTGCTGTAGTCTTAGAAGCATTCCACTAAGAAAAGATCAGAGCTAAGGCAGGCATTTCCTTCTAGCATTGAATAGTCAAGGCTTATTTTCACCAAGATGATTTTTCATTTTATTTTCAAGTATAGTTTCCATCTTGTGATGACAATCTGTTGACTAATTCACTGGCCATATTTTAGCAATTTTCCTCAGACCCCCAAACTCATAAACTTAGTTCTTGAGTATGAAAGGATCATGTTTAAAGTGGGCAAGCGCTCTTCATCTCTACCTCTGTACTTAAATGATTAGAAGTGTTTATCTTATTTGGTATCTTGTTGGTTATATCTTTTATTCAAGTCTTTGGTATTCCCGAAAATCTCTACAAGATGACTTTTATTTCAGAATTTCAAAAGTGTCATAAATGAGAAGTCAAATGAGAAGACTGAGGACATCCATCTTGAGTTTATTGGTCTCCCATCCTCCTTTTTTCATTTCTGTTCCTTTGCTACAGTTACAGAGGTTGAGGTCTCTCTCCTTGCCAGCATTAACCACAATTCTGTCCTCTTAATGCACACCCCTCCCAGCTCCTCAAGGAACTTGCCTGTCCATTGTTCTTATTCTCTCTCTCTCTCTCTCTCTCTCTCTCTCTCTCTCTCTCTCTCTCTCTCTCTCTCTCTCCCCCCCCCCCTCCCTCCCTCCCTCTCTCTCTCCCCCCTCTCTCACTCTCCCTCTCTTTCTCCCCCTTTCTCCCTTTCTGTCTCCGTTTCTCTCATTTCTTTCTTTATTACATCTTTCCCTTCTGTCTATAAACATGCTCAGATCTTCCCCTAAACAAACAAGAAGCCTCCCTTTAATGTTGTTATCCTCTGAAATTTAACATCTTAAAATACCTCTTCTCTTCATTTCTAAATGTTTAGGAAAATAATCTATGATTGTTTCCTTTACTATACTATTCATTCAGTCCTCAACCTCTTGAAGTCTGATTTCTATCTCCACCACTCAACTGAAAACTGCTGTCAGGGTCCCTAGTAAACTCTTAGCAAATATGATGGGTTTTGCTTAGGCTTCATCTTGTAGCTTTAGACTCTGTGGACTTTAATTTTCTGGATACTTTCTCCTCCTGTGGTTCTTGTGACCCTGGTTTTTTCCTCATTCCTGTCTATTTAAGCATTCCTTCGTGGTCTCCTCTTGGTTCATTTAGTATTTTCCTGTCCCCTAAGGGATGTCCCTTAAAGCTTTATCTTTGGCCCTTTTCTCTTTCTATAGGCTCTCTCTTGGTGATCTCATACACTTCCATGACTTAAGATGATCCCAAGTCTATATAACCAATTCTATTCTCTTTGCTAAGGACTAGTTTCAAATCTCCAGCTGCCTTCTAGATAGTTTCATGTGGCTATCCTGACAATACCTCAAACTATACACATTTAGAACTAAACTCATCGTTTTGTTCCCTGCCTGGCCCTTCCCCAAATTTCCCTCTCCTCTACTCAGTCGGGCCAGACTCTTAGCATAATGTTTGACTCTTTTTTCTTCCTCACTCTCACATATTAATTGCCAAGTGTTATTAATACTGTTTCTATAGTATCTTTTGAATCTGCCTCTTCCATGCTCTTCTCTTCCATCTCTTCCACTCACACTGCCACCATCTTAGTCTATTGTAATAGCCTCCTAACTGGTTAAAATGGTTAATGGGAGTTGAAGCCCAAAATAAATAGGGTGAGATTTTCTTGAGTAAATTCAGTTCACCATGTCCAAATGAAATAACTTGCTTAGTTACTGAGAGAACTGGTGGATTTGGTTGCTCAGACACTATCAATAATCTTGAAATTTCTAGAGAGGTGTCCTTAAACTGTTGTCTTGTATCTCTCTTCCCTTTAAAAGATAAACTCTAAGAAAAATCTGTGTACTCTCATTTTCTCCACTTCTTTTCCTCTTACTTATGAGCTTTTTTCTCATTTAGCTTCTGACTTCATTACTCAACTCTCCAAACTTATCAGTGATCTCTTACTTGGAAAATCTTGGTGGTTCTGCTTGTATGACCAATCCTTCTCAATCTTCTTTGCTGGACCATCATCCATATTACACTCCCTAGATATGAGTGTGCTCCAAAGTCTTGTCTTATGGCTTCTATTCTCCCTGTATACTCTTTCTTAGTGACCCCATCAACTTACATGAATTAATTATTGTCTGTGTGAAGGTAACTCACAGATCTGTATATCTAGGCCTACGTCACCAGTTGCCTGTGAGACATTATGACCATAGGATATAGACTTCTTAAACTCAACATGTCCAGAACAGAATTCGTTATCTTTTCCCCTAGCACCACTCCTCTTTAGAACTTGCCCATTTCTTCCAAGGAAACAGCCAGTTTTCCAGTTACACGGGTTCTAACCATGGAGTCTCTCACCTCACATTTATTATTATTATTGATTGCCAAGTTTTGTCAATTGCACCTTTATAACTTCTCTCATGTTTCCCCCCTTCTCTCTGCCTATTGTTTCCTACTTATTCTCCTTCCCTCAAGACTTTTTCCTCTCTAATTCATCTTTCACACAGCTATCAGTGTAATATTTCTAAAGCACCAGTCAGACCATTTCATTTCCTTGGTCAAAAGACTCCAGTGGATGCCCTGTTACCTATAGGATCTAATGCAGATCCCTTTATTTGTCATTTAAAGACCTTCACAAGTTGGCTGTAGCCTGTCTTTCCAATCTTAGTCTACCTTACCCCTGTCATGTGCCTGTAGTCCAGTCCAACTGCCTTTCTTGTTGTTCTTCACATGTGTCACCCTATCTCCCTTCCCTATTCCTTGGCTGCTTTCCAGTTCTGGAATGCATTCCTCTTCATTCCACCTCTTAGAATCCCTATTTTCATCAAAGCTCAGCTCAAATACCTCTCTCTAGGTGTGGCCTTTTCTGAACCTCACAACTGCTAGTGTGTTTCCCACCGAAAATGCCTTGTATAGTGACTTTCCTGGATTTTGCCACCATGCCCTGTCCTCTGACTTTGCCACCATGACCTCATGAATTTCACCATCATGTCCCTGTGTGGATACCGTCTCTCTCCCACTCTGCCTTTCCTACTTCCTTTTATGTGTTGCTGCCCCTGGATCCCTCCTTCCCCTCAGTGACTCCTCCTCCCGTTCCCCCACCCACCCACAATTAGAATGTAAGCTCCTTGAACATAGAGACTGTCTTTTACTTTTATTTGTATCCCCAGTGCTTAGCATAGTGCTTGGAGCAGAGTAAACATATAATAAAAACTTTTTTGCCTTGTAGCCTAGCTAGAGAGCTGGCCTTAAAGCCAAGAAGACCCGTGTACAGGTCCTGCCTCTGACTCATATGGGCTGGCAAGTCATTTAACTTCTCATACCCTGGGTAGTAATGTTTCCACTTCTTACTCATTGAATTATTGTTGTTGTTTTGGATTGTGGGGGGAAGGAAGTGAGTCTGTGATTTCATTGATATAGGAAACTCCCAATGAGGAAATACTGCTATAGACTGGCACCTTCTTTGTAGTTTAGACTT